CTGAACGTACGCGTTCATTATCAGCTGCCGTGCAGCTCGGTTGAGGACATCGCCGCTCTTATGCTTCTTGTAGAGGCGCCTTGGCGTAGGCGGCGAGGCTGCACCAGACTCTCTTGACGAAAAAGAATCGGAGGAATCTCATTCCGCTGTCTCCACGTTGGGATTCATAACGGAAAACGGCGACTTCGGCATTGTTAAAACGCGAATCGCAGGAACTTTCAAAACCCGAAACGCAGGTTTTTTTTAACAAACGCAGAAAATACACGGAATGTACCTAATTCGAGTAGGAAGGTTATCAAGCTAAACCCAACAACCATATATGCATTACTTATAAAAGTTACAATTTTCGTTGCACTGAAGCCTTCTTTTTACGTCAACCTTCCGGAGCGAGTAATTTGCCTCGGCTAGGTGGCGCAAGCTGCCGCCCGCTACAAGGTCTGTCTGTAGTCAATATCCATCCATTGAAGTAGAAGGGGCGTTTTCAGCTAACTATCTTCTCGACTGCGGAGGCGTCTGAAGCGGGCGCATCACGCTTATGGGGAGGGGCTTCTACTACCTTCTTAACTTGTAACCGACTATAGACGGGCATTACAAGCGAGGCGTTAGCGACATCCACCAGGTGCTCTTTGCTAATCGTTTAATTCGTTTTAAAATTCCTTTTCGTTACTTTTTTAACAAGATATTGGTATGTTCGATTTGATGGTGCTTTTTTGAACACATATAGACCAAAAAAATGAGCGCCGAAATTTCGTTGTAGTATCCCTTTAAAGGTTACCAGTTATGTACGCTCCGAGATATTTGTACGAAGCCACGAACTTCAGGTGGTCTTGGTTGAGAAAGTAATGATGACTGTCGTAAGGTTGGCGGCAGACGTGTATGTCTTGCATTCGTTAGAGTTGAGTTTCCTCGACCATTGGTCGTACTACCGGGGGACAGCGTCAGGCATATACAGGGTGTCACAAAAGAAATTTACAGGGTTTTTTTTTACCGCGAAAATAACCTAGGCATCGCCGAACGCTCATGTTCCGCCCAATGGTAGCGCTTGAGGTCACAACAAGATGCCAAAGTTTCAGCCCGATCCGATACCTTATTCAAAAGTTATAAGTGATTTTCTGAAAAGTTCAATGGGAAAATAACGGCCGACGGAATTTTCGGATACATGGGGCTCTATGGCAGCAGAAACTGAAAACGGGCAAAAATGGGCTCCATTTTCTTATTGAAATTTTCAGAAAATCACTTATAACTTTTGATTAGGTTATCGGATCGGGCTGAAACTTTGGCATCTGGTTGTGACCTCTAGCGTTACCTACGGGAGGGGATGAGCGTTCGGCATTGCCTAGTTTATTTTTGCGGTAAAAAAAACCCTGTAATTTTTTTTGTGACACCCTGTAGATGAGGAGATATTTATTGGAAGGTCGTTAATACAGATTAAAAAAAAAAAGCAACGGCCCCATCACAGATCTCTGAGAAACACCGGAAGCAAACGCGACGGAAGAAAAAAGTTACTATGTTGACAGTAACAAGTTGGGACTGATATGATAAAAAAGGTTGGATCAGTGCAAGAACGTTAGCGTTCATGTTAAGCTGTGAAAGTTTCTGAAGCAGAAGTTTGTAAGAGACTTTATTAAACGCTTTAGCAAAAAAAAAAAAATGTAGTCTGCCTAGGCAGACTTGTACACGTTACTGAAAAATAGTAAAGAATTACATTTACAATTACTCAAGGCTAAATTGTAATTTATTACAATTACAATTACCTTCCCGTGAAAGTAACTGACCGTTACCCCAAAGAGTAATCCGTTACTTTCGTGGCGTTACTTTCAACATTATTGTAATCAAGTAAGAAACAAAGGAAAGAGGGTTATTCAAGTTCTTGTTCAAGTTCAAGTAAGAAACAAAGGGAAGAGGGTTATTTAAGTTCTTATTCTTGCCACCTGTTCCATTTAATGACCTTGAGTATCTTGAGCAACAGCTGGCTCTCTAAATACTCGTCATACATTTAGCGTTATTTCTTACTCCATACGTCGACTGCTACGCTCAACACCATTTGAGCTGAGGCACTAGATGGGAGTGCCATATTGCTCCTCGCGAATGCTTCATGGTCTGCATTGAGCTTTTTCAGCGAAGCAAGGGAAGTATTTTTTGCCTCGAATGTAGAGCAAAGCTTCCTCGTTGCAGCCGTTGGCTGCTAATCGAGAGATTTACTAGATCCTTCCGATACCTCCGATACCCGCGATAACGGTAGCCGATAACGATATGATGCATACGCAAAGACGGCGGCGAAGTATCGAATATCGTTATAGAAGTCATCGGACCGATCTAATAAAATTCTTCATTCTCTAAATCACGAAGCTGTAGAAGTCATCAATAGCAAAACATAGTTGTAACAGTAAGGTGATAATTAAATAATGAATAAGGTTTGGCTCGATATTCTTCTTCCATTGGTTCTGAACAGTTCGAGCCTCACTTGAGACGTTGGTCTCAAGTGAGGCTCGCCTCACGTTGGTGAATAAAAAAAAATTTCCAGTATATAAATATAAGAAATAAAAGAAAGGACACTCATAACAACAATTAATTATAACGTCGGTTAAAACAGGGAAATGTAAACGCACGTTCGCTGTGTGTACCTTTCTTGCTGCCGTTAAGAAACTCACGGAGCACGAACCGACTGCAGTTCACACCGGTGTTCACCAAACAGACGTCCACTGATGCCACGGGCAGCAAAGGGTAGAGTTCTATATAAGTAAGCCGTGCTATGGCCCCACTCACGAATTTCACCCTCCTCAAGCCCAGAATATCAAGTCTACGTCAGCCACCATTATGTTTTATTTGTAAAAATATCTGCTTGAGATAAGATGCGTCCTGCTGGGGCAAAACAGGAAGAAGAAAGGAAGACTATTACCGTTTTTGAAATTCTCGCAAGAAGCTGACTCACAAAAAGGGTAGGTAGACGGGGGATGAGGACGATTCGCCACATGCGCATTCGTCACAGGACGATTGGTCACAGGATGGTTCGTCACATAGGAACATTCGTCACAGGAAAAAAAAACAAAAAAAAAAAAAAAACGGAAATTTCACAGAAACTGTACATAGAAAGAGATTGACCTCGTTTCTACAGCTCCGCAAAAATCTTTCTTTTTTCCGTTCAAAAAAAAAAATTATTTTTTTCATTTCATAAAAAAAAAGGCGTGTGCCGGGGGAGGGGGGGGGGGGGGGGGGGTCCCGTGGACAAATTGTAACGGTTACAAGTAATTTTATTACTTCAAAAAGTAATCAGATTACTCTTGTGATTACTGCCTAATAAAAGTAATCAACTGATTACAAAATTACTCCAAAAAGTAATCGATTACAAGTAATTTGATTACTTGTAATGCGTACGGTACAAGTCTGCGTCTTGGTTATCAAACACACGTGTCGACAAGCCTAGTCATTGATTATACGTTCGCAGCGCCATGTTTGTGACGTTGAAGTCTGTGGTGAAGTCTCAGATATAATTAGTAATCGTCCATTTAAAATGGAATTTACTAGGACCTTTTTCTTAAGCGTGCAATATACCGTATGCGAAAAGAAGCGCCATTTTGTGTACCTTATGATAAATTATCGAGTTTTCGCCATATGGGGGCGGGGAGGAGGGGTTCCATGCCGATCTTTTTGCCTGACAGACAATTGCAGCGGCAAAGTTGGAGTTGCAGATCTAAATATAATCAAGTACTGCTAGTCCAGTACAAATCCTTCACACGGCGTCATCAATAAAGTCTATTCACTTACCTGGATGGCCCAGTTCATCGCTTAAGTGGCAAGCAAATTCAACGCACAAATGCGCCGTGCTAATATAATGAAACAATGCTTAATGCAGGCGCACCTCGTGCACAGATGGAAGGTGTCATAAACCCTCCAATATGGCCGCTCCGAACGGCATGATGATGATAGCTGACAAAGGTTTTGCGTATGAACTATTACCTTCGAAAGGCAGAGCGGACAGATTTGTGTGATATGCAGCACTCGACAAATATAGAGCGAGCTCTAGTAGAGCTATTGAACCCGTAAACAAGCTGCACTGGGCAATAATAGGACGGCACGTGTTGTCAGTGTCCCAGATTATCCCGCCTTTTTTGGTTGAGATCATATACGAAGAGCAATTTTGTCTGTTCATCTTATTCGCCTGAGAAAAGCTTCCCTGCGCACCGGATTACATCTTTTCAGGCTTCTTCTCTTCGTACTCGGATATACTCCTCACTGTTTCGCGCCTCCACCCACGTGGGAGAAGACAGGAGTAGTTCACTTCGCTCGCCCTATGCAGGCCTGGAAAAAAGAATGGTCCAGCTCTCCGAAAGGGAACGCACTTATGTCTATTTGCGTTACGCACCAACAAACTTTAAGTAGAGGAAAATGCTAATGTAGACAAAAGCGGTGCACTGTTACTGCTTGAAACGGTCGAAATTTTGATTTTTGTAGACTAAACACTAAGCGTCACATTGAGACAAAATTCGGACTCTGCTGTAGCAGAATTTATTTAACTCATTGATGCCCGGTTATGTCAATGGTGCGGTGGTTTCACCGTTTCAGACCCTGCTTTCGATGGAGTTCGATTTATTGTGACCCTTCCACCAGCGTTCTTTGCAGAGCGACCCATGCATGCCTTGTAGATTCATAGATTGATCGAGAACCCCAAGAGAGCGAATGATAGACACGCGTGTCCGTACGCACACCCCTAAGGAATTGGTTATTATATGAAGCTAACCATATACTTAAAGGGCAACTCCGGTCCATACTTTCAATTTTGGGATTATGGCTGTTTTTAGTGCAGTCAGCGCCCCTGAATTGCAAGGTGTATTTGTTTTTCCCGTTATTGTGCGTAGTTTTAAAGATATCGACGTCTCAAAGTTTTGTTTGGGGCGCGGCCTACAAAATCGAAACTAGCCGCTCGAGGTTCCGGCAACACTGGAAATCACCCGCTATGTGGACGTGACGTCAAGATCGTTCTCATTCAACGAGTACGCAGGCCAAGCGGCACCTACCTCTGTTGCGCTAGCCGTCTAAAGATAGAAGGTAAGCTGATTTTGTTTTAATTCTGTATACGTGGTAGTTATCCAGCATATGTAGCAAGAGTTAGTGCGTATACCCAAGAGCTAGCGACTGGAAAACCCGTGAACTCGTTCCGCGCCGTACACGGCGGCCGCCGCCGCGCGTGCGCTATGCCGTGCCGTACTCGTTGCTTGTATACCCAAAAGCTAGCGACTGGAAAACGAGTGAACTCGTTCGGTGCCGTACTCGCAGCTGTCAGCGTGCGTGCGGTCTCCCGCACTCGTCGCTAGGCCTAAATTGCCATCGGGGCTCCGTGGATGGAGCGGCGTTGCTCTACGCCGCGCTGCCAGTGACGTACAGTACTGGGGGCCCACTCGCTTTCGCGCTGCGGGTCAGTCCCAGAGACGAAGCTTTGAGGCTCTCCGGCGCGGGTCGCGACGCCCGAACACACGTGTGTTAAGCTGTAGACGACTGTTTTCTCGTTCTCTTTTCCTCAGGCGCGTAAAAGTCAAATTTGTAAGCTACGACACTAACTCACCATATAAGTTCGTCCAGGTAATAATTCTTTGTAAAAATAAAAAAAAAAAACTTGCCGCACTAAAAAAAAAAAAAAAAAAAGTTCTTTGGGCAGTCATTTTCTTTTCAAAGCTAGCAAATGTTTTTGTGGGTGATAAAGGAAAACAGAGAAAGTTAGCAAGGTGAGAACACTTTCTTCCCCTTCCGCATTCCCACCCCCACCCACAACAATTTTTTTATTATTTATTCATATACCCTTAAATGCCCTCGTTAGAGCATTACATTATTGGAATACATAGGATTTTAAGTTTTCCTTCGTAACTTTTGACTAAGGCAAGTGTTTTTTTTTTTTGCTTTTTTTTTGCTTTTTTAAATATTATATTTACCTCCAGCCGAAGTCGGGTAAATTAGAGAGTTGTAACTTACAAATCCGAACTTTCGCGATTTCTTTAAAGTTTCTTGTGGTATTCACAAGCGCAATGTTAATTAATACTGCTGCTTAACGGGTTCGAACGATTGGGAGGCGAATGTTTATATTGCATGAGCTTCACGCGCCGGCTGTTCGCTAGTAGTCGTTACGAACCTGAATACTACGCACGAGATTGCGTAGTAAACAAGCAGTGACGCAAAGCAGAACATTGTTTTCCTTTTCATTATAAACTTCAGTGACTGGAGCTAGTTAGTGGTTGTACTCTACGTGCCCACCATACCCCATTCAACAGACATTCAATGGAGCGTGAATGCTCAATCTTCAACACTGCACTTGACAATGACTGTTTTCTTTATTGATCTGGATACTTTTACATGTTTACGTTTTTTGTACATGTACGGTGGGCAAAGAGCGACGGCACGGCATCCTTTTTAAGCCTCGACCCCTTCGCTGACAAGCCACAAGCAACCAACACCTGCAGGTTTCGTTCGTAACTCTCCGGCGAAAAATGATCGGAGCAGAGCTTCGATCTGGGGGTCGGCGTCCAAGGCTTTCCAAAGTCCACTCATCGAACAGCGTTCACCCACACCTTCTCCAATTTCCGATCCGTTGGAAACTTGTGAAAAAGCACCTCCGGGTTGCGCAGCGGGTTGTTTAAGCAGCCCACAGCGCTACAAGTTGTACTCGGCATCTTTCGAGGAACAGCTGGGCAGTCTTGGGCGCACCGAGTTGCTCGCTAAAACGAGTCTTGGAGTCCTCACAAGCAAATAAACAAAAGGCTATACCGAAGCTACACGGGCTACAGGTAAAAGCAACGGCTAAACACGCAATCACAAGCCGAAGTAGCGGTGGTAGCGGCACAAAGAAGCGCGCGCGACGGCTGCGCCGTGCGCCCGTCCGGAACGGAGGAAAAAGAGAGAACGATGTTGACATCACGGCCCAATGTTGCTTTAGCGATCGGCAACCCGCTGGCCGCCCACTAAGGAGCAGCGGCTCGCGGCGGGTCGGATTTTTATTATCGGCATTAGTTGAGAATGCGGCGTCCCACGGACGTGAAATTTTGGCTGGGGTCGTATTTTGTGTCACTAAAGCAATACCAGTAATTTAATTCATTTTGAGATTTGGCGGGAGTTGCCCTTTAAGTATTTAATAAATTTGCTCTCGCTCACAATGCATGACAGGATACGTATACGTTCAAAGAATGACTGCGTGTACTTTTGTGAAAACTATGCGGGAAGACCTCTTTGTGATCCACGACAGAAGAGTGAGTCATAAGCAAGATATGTTTTGCAAAAAATGTCTATGAACTGGCATTTTGAGTTTCTGAAATGCCCTCGAACGTTTAGTCAAAAAGCATATAGCTTTATGTCTAGATGGTATAAAAGTGCGTGCAGTTGAATCATACTAATAGTGCTACCGCTCCAAGTGCCACTCGATTAAGTGTACGGATGGACGTCTAAAGCAAAGCAGCGTCATGGTTTGCATAAAATACTGTCGTTACTGTACACCTTAAATCGTTTTTCAGGATTCTTCCATATTCACAATGCTGACGTGTCCGGCCGCAAACAGCGGAAAGGCGCTCGTCAACGTCACCGTATTTCGGCCACGTTGGTCTGTGGCAGACCATACCTTCAGGCTTCCTTTCTACCACAGTAAGAAAGGCAGCGTGTCCTCTGCATAGGTGGAATATGAGGGACGGTGCACAGGACACGGCATAGCCGTACAAAAAATGCCATATATGGTCATATCAGTAATTGGGCAAATAACGCTGTATAACACACACATACAGACACTATATATGCTTATATCTGTGACCTTACTTGCCCAAGTCTTGACATGCCCACCCATGGCATTTTTGTATGGGTGGTTAAGCAAATTACGAATAAGCACAAAAGGGGACGAGGACGGACGTGTGCAGCCTAGGTTATCGAAATTTTCAAATTTTATTTAGCTCTCCGGTGATATACCACGGACTGAGTATCACGTGACACTTCGTCCAAACTCAATCCCAGGTATTTTTGTTTACGAATATAATAACACAACTTTTTTTTTTATGGTGACCAACAACTGAAGGAAAGCAGGAAGTGGATTATTATGTTAAGGCTTCGCGCTTCCCGATTAGTTCTTTTGGCGTTCTTATCAGCAAACGCCTCAGGTTTATTGGCTGTGTAGCGATGATAAGACTCGCCTGGAAATGAAAAGTGGTTGTCTCCAAACGTCACTTATAAGTGGGCAATCTCAATTTCGTTTGTGGCATTTCGTGATGCTGCCGGAGGGCACACCAGATTCAGTCTATAGACCGACACGCTGTTTACAAACAAACCCGCGTTTGCCCACGCCAAGTGCGGACACTGCGCGTGCGCAGAAAGCGAATTCGCGTAAAGCGAAGCGTCTGCGCATGCGCAGTGCCGTCGACAGCGCCACCGCAGCTGCGTGACGTCAGGGCCGCGTGTTGGTCTAGACAGTAAACAATTATTTCTATAATTCGTCACAAATGTGGTACGAGTGACGTAATTATTGTAAATCTATGTATATGTATTCACTAATAAAGCTGTACCTACTTTAAGAATAAATTTTGTACTCATAATTTCAATCCGGTAGTGATCTGCATAAACATCTACAATGGACCATCTTTTCAAATGCATTGGTGACCAACACCAATGGCCCAGAGATCCTAGACGTCTACGTGCCTTGTTTCCATATCTTTATTTTATTCAGATTTACCAGTAACACCTATTAAATTATATAGTGTAACCGAAGTCCTCCATCCATGCATCCTGGGCGAGACCGCAAATGTGTCAGATAATGTTCTTCAAATAATTAATAGGAGTGCTGTTGATACATTCTCTTCGAGCGAAAGTCATATCACGAGCGAATTTAGTGACCTCTGAAACCCCAGTAAATAAATTTATTTTTGCGCGAAGCATTAGAATCTACCGTAAAGGTACATATCAATTTGTGTTTAATTAGAGCCGAGTATTTGCCGAGAAAAGCGAGGTCATATTAAAACCAGATATCCAGTGGAGCAGAACCTGATATCCGAGAGTCCCGAAATCACGGGGATTGTTACACTCTACGCCATTGCGCGTTAATGCTAGATCTGTTTAGTCTAACGTATATTTAAAGCTTAGGTTCTCATTAAAACTGTCTTATGCACTATAATAGTTTTGAGTAATTAAAGGTATTATCGGAAACAATATGATCGTGAACGTGCCTCCGCTTATGGGCGCAGAAGTGCGTTCCCGCTCATATTGTTTCCCATAGTACCTGCATCAGTTCTTTTGTGAATTCTCAAACATTCTTAGTTATATCTCGTCATCGAATGTGATTAAAGAAAAGAAATAGGCAAGCCCTGACCAGTCGTCTCGAATTGCCGTTTGTTTCCTTCAGGGGCGGCATTTTAAAGTATAGATATTTGTTTCTTGTTATATGGTCCCTATACAGATTGTGCTTCTGTAAACCTCTAGTCATGCGTAAAAAGTTTATAAACAGCTTTTAAGAAGCTTTTTTTTTAAGCATGTCGTACTTTTGATAGCGAGATGAGCCAAACCGGACTTTCAAGTGACCCCTGATTTTGCTCTTCCACAGGAAACTGCATGAGTGAGTTCATGGGTTTGATCTCCACTGAATTCAAACCCGGTGTAAGTACTCTAATAATAATTTAAAAGAAATATTGCGGCTGCTCTTTATTTGTCGATAAAACGGTTATGAGCAGAGTTTAATTTTACGTGAAACACAGCCAACGCTGAGGTTCACTATCAGTCGTCGTGGCAAGGGCCGCCTTGTCTTTTCCAAACGTCGCCTCGTCGTTTCTTCTTTCTTTTTTTTTTTTTTCGACGACACCGAGGGTGCACAGACTGCAGGCGAGGGAGGGCAGTCGTGTGGGCTGAATTATAACGCGTCGAAACGCGACGAGTACGAACGCGTAAAGTTGATTCGCGGGGCAGGTGTATGGCGGCTGGCAAACTCTCTACAAGTCACTTAAGGCGCGTTCACACCGGCGATGCGATTCAGTTGCGCGATTAATTTCATCGCAAAAGCGATCATCGCGAGAGAAAAAAAATGCGACACGGTTTGAGCAGTCGCTGGCTGACCCGACTTTTTGCGATGCGATCTAGTCGTGGAGTGGCTGAGCCAATCAGCGACGTTAGGAACGCGAGTTTTCGAGAAGCGGCTCGCTCATCACGCACGCCAGTATAACCATCTATTTCTTTTTTCTTTTTGCGATGCGATTTAGTCGCATCGCATGCTTTACATTGCCGGTGTGAACGCGCCATTTGAGGATGAGAGCGGTATGACGTCTCTTTAGGCTGCCCGAGTTGGATGCTGTGGTGCACGCTCGTGGAGGATGTCGCATCGTTATCGAAAGTAAAAATCTCGTGCTGAAGGCGGAACAACTAAAGGCTGAATCGCATGTAAGCGATTTCTCGAGCGACGAGACGAGCGACGGAGATGTCTCAATCTCGCTCGTCGCGTCGTTCGGTTTTTGGATTTCTAGAAAACGTCGCTCATGTCCTTGGTCGCTTGCTATCGTCGCTTTCATGCGGTCTGCCTCGTCGCGCGACTGACCGAGCGACAGCGAAGCGGGTTGCCGTCGCTTGTCTCGTCTCTCGCCAAATCGCTTTTATGCGGTTTATACTTAGAGGACCGCCTTGCCGTTGCAATGCTCTCAGTGACTAAATAGCCAAAGTTAAAGAACGTATGACTGCCGTGTTTCTTGCTGTTTAATAACGACGCTGTACGTAGATTGCAGTTCGACGGCGGTCTAAGCGCGCATTGAACTATCGTCCGATGGTTGTACGGCAGCTGCAAGCCTGCCCGCTCCGTAAACAAAGCTGACTCCAATGACCACATGTTTGTTGACGTTCCAAGTTGTCGAAGTCAGAGTATAGATTAGAGCCAAGTGCTTCAACAAAACCTGCGTTGTTGATCTAACGTGTATTGCATGGCTGGAAGTATATTATGCTAAAACAGGAAATGGAATGCACCATCTATTCTTCATTCACCTTTAAGCTGACAGTGACGTCGAAGCTATGTGTTCCTTGGACCAGATCTATTTCTATCTCCCCCCCCCCCCGGGGACTCATTCTCGGCTATATCCACGCGCAGAGACCGGGACCAGGTGATAAGGAAGAGTATGTCGACTGCTCTGAACCAGCAAGTTGCTTCCACCCGACTCTCATATTAGGGGGAGAGCGGTGTTTAGGATGTTCCAGATTAAATTTGAGTCGGCTATAATAAGCCTAGTACCATCTCCTCGTTGATTAGTAACTTCCGTTTTAGGGAAGTTTCACGGAACGTGTTTCCACTTCCTGATATCCGTACTCTTTCATGTTCATGAGCAGCGTTCGCCAATTTCCCCAATGATTTGCATGCAGACGATTAGTTATTGACGTTTTTACTAAAACGCACAAGCAAGGAGAGTGGCTCAGTCGACGACAGAGCTCAGTAAGCATGACCGGGGACGTATCTGGCCGCATAAACCCTGGCTTCATTACTATTTGTTTTTCGTTCGGAGTGTACCCGGCGGCATCTCCTGTGGCCATTTTAACCTCCCACAGATCGACGTCTCGATCACCTGCTTGTCTTAGATCCGAATAAATATCTTTATCTATAAAAATCGGACATCAGCCGTTGCTCCCTTATGTTCCCGACTATTCCGCCTGGCGCAGTCGCCCACGACGCGAAAGAACTCGAGCGAGCTGGAAAGCACTGCCTCCTCGCACAATAAGACTTAGCGCCAAAGTTCATCAATAATGCGTTCCGCGAGATTTCGAGACGGAAGTACACCACGTGAAACCAACCTATAGGATCAGTCAGGTGAAGATTGTGATGGGACTTCCACGTTCTTTGTTTCAGGAGAAACGCTTCCAGCCCGGAGGTGCCACCTTTCACGGCATAATGGCTCCTCCTGGTATGGACGCCGAGACGTACGAGTACAACAGGACAGTCGAGCTGGTCCCAACGCGCATCGAAGAAGGATCTCTGGTCAGCTACGTGAAACGTTCTTTCTGCTCCTGTCATATGCGTGCTTAACTTATCCTCAGGATGTCCAGACGGCTAGGCACATTCCTATTTTCCCCTTCCTTGCAGTCTTTATGAGTGTTTTAAACTCTGCTCATACATAATACAAAAGGCCAGGTGTTTGCTTCAGTCATGATAAGATAGATACCCGCGGACACGCCTCAGCCATGTCGGACGCATGCTTGCTTCATACACATGCATGCTCTGAACATGTCTGCAAACAGTTTTTTTTTGTACATGTGACAGGACAGTTATACAAGGAAGAAAAAGCACACCTGAGACAATGTCTGCAGATTGTCTGTTGTATGATGTACATCAAGTGTTATAGCGCCTTAAGGGCTTGTGAAACGTTTGCGGAACGTTTGTTGTCAAGCGCGATGCACCACTTTTCTTGCACTGAGCTAGCGAGTCAGAAACATATGTTGCGCACTGCAGATTGGAATTCAACAAAATATAATGCCAAAACGCAAGAAACTTTTATGTTCAGCCACGGTAGAAGAAGAGAGAAGTGTGTGAACAAGGCCAGCCGAGGCGGCAAAAGTTTCTAAGGTTTGGCGCTTCTCCCTCCAGGGGCGTTGTCGGTTCAGGCGGCTTAGCGCAGGAGCCGTCCCGCCAGCCACGCGGCCGTAATGACGTATTCGCGAGTAACGACGGTTTCTCCAGCTCGAGTGACTCTCGTAGGTCTCCTACTACCCTAGACGTGCTGCGCCATCTCACGACGCTTCTGAGAAATGCGAGCAAACCTTAGACACGCTTGTTTCATTGCGAGGTGACGCCGTTCAGACATCAATTTCTACTTTCACATTGTGCTGGGCTTCGGAAGAAAGTATGTGTTCATATAATTTTTGTAGTATAACGCAGCATCGAGAAACCAGTAAAACAATCACAGTTACAGAGACAAAAAAAAAAAAAAATTGGGGCGCACTGTTGTGAGTCACATTTGGGAGCTGGGCATATTTTATGAATCTTGAACAGTGGCATATCTATGTGACAGTCCTCCCTGACAGATTCTGTTGATGAAAGGTTTTTCCAGACACTGTCCTTGTTTCACGTCATTCTTGAAAATATTAAAGAATGTACGTAGAAGACGAGAAAAGGGGCTGTACGACACAAAATATGTCTGTAAACCCAGGGAATAAAACCAATTTTTATTTTTTGGACGAAAATATCCAAAACTTAACTTTTAATAGACAGGAGCTGCAAAAAAAAACTGTGTGCTTGGCAAAATAAAATTAATATTGTGTTTATTTCACCTCAAAAAAAAAAAAAAAAGCTACGCATTTGAAATATTAAGTGTCTGCCCAATGTAGCCTAGCGGATGGGACCACCTAACGCCAAAGTTTCCGAAGCTACCGTTTTCTGAGTCAATAGCAAGTTATACATAATATTCAAATATCTTCCATGAATATCGGCCAAATAAGCCCGCTAGAAGACGTTGATTTATGGCATCTGATACCGAAGAACGAATCTCCATATCCAATAAAAAAGAAATATCGCTTATAACGTATTGATTAATTAGCGGTAAGTTCGGATGTTTAAAAATCTTGTCCCGGCCGCTATCGCTATATCTTGGCGGAGATAAATTGTTAGGCAATGCGAAATTTATTTTTATGGTTAAAAACTTGTTGTTTTCTTTCGAACATTATTTACGTTGTAGTTGCAGCTAAAAGTAGTAATAGCAGAAGCCCTAAGCGTTAGAAAGCGAAAGTTTACAGCTGTAAATGACGACGCAGTTTCTTGGCTTACAAGAGGCACACGTGCATTTAACTTCACCGCTGCTATAGAAACCATCTCGTTTTCACTTGTCATTCTGACTGGTATAGGTTCATCCTTCAGATATTCATCCCCACTCCCCTTTTCTTATATAAACGGCCTGTTATTTCCCTCCTGCTTCTTGACCTTCTGGAAATCGGGAAACCGTTTCTATTCATTTGAAGTGTGTTTTAAAGTTATGGCGCATGACAGGATGAGAACTGCAAGAAGGACCTTCAGTTGTTCCGCCTCCAGCGCGGGCTTCGTACCTTCGATAGCCCTTCATTGTCTCGTGAGCCTCGAGCGCGCACGGGCTGCCGAAGTACGACCGTAGCCTCCTATATACTGAAAAAGCCTGGCAGATCGCCACGACAAGCGGCCGCCGAAGTGGAAAAGGTGGAGCGGCAGACAACGGATGATAGGAGAGCCACGTGACTGGCGCTCCGCTGCTGCGGGACGCCGAAAAACACTTCTCCCGAGCGAGCAAGTGTGTTTCGGGTCCTCGCCGCTGCAAAAGGTGTGCTCTGACGTTCAGGTTCTCCTAGAAATGGCGCTTTGATGCTTTGTGCTACCAGATCCTCGTGCTCCAAATCTGTGACCGTGCTATCTATGGCTCCGTCGTCGAACTGCCGGGCTTTGTGAGTTTAGAGGAGGCTATTGTACGACGAAAGACAACGAGTGCGTTCTGAAGGCCAGACATTAAAAAAGTCACGCTTCCGTTCTCATGAAACCGATGAGCATATATCACAAGCAGTATCATGACCCCCGCAGGCGCTCATGATCGAGGGTTTGCTGAACATGACGGTGACGAAGTGGGCCGAACACGACTGCGGAAAGCTTGACCCGGACTACTACAAGGAATGGCAGGACATAGCCACAAATTTCAACCCCAACTGGGAGCCTCCCAAGGAACACTAGATGGAGGAACACCACTTTCTTTCCTAGAGACGCAAGACGGAACTTGGCGCTTGTGAATTTCATTTAATAAATAATCTGCAATGCAAGGCTATTGAAGGATGTTACGAAATTAGTCTTTAAGATGGTTCTTGTGATTAGGGAGCCTTCTTTAGCACGTTAGTTTTCGGAAGCACCTTCCGAGTATAAAAAAAACTCGTGGCGTACGGTGAAAGCGCCAATTCTGGCACTCAAATTGACGCGTTTTCATGTCCGTCACAACTCCGCCGCACCCCAACAAGACGCGATATCCCAATTGTCACTTAGGCAAAATAAATAAAAATCGATGCATGCATAGCCATGGTATCAAACATAGAAGCAATGATGTCATGTTCGTAGCATATTTATTGAGCCGAGTTTTGAAGGGTGTGTGAACGAATTCCTGGACATGGTTCCTGTGATTAGAGGGGAGAAGGTGTAAATAAAAAATCGAGCCATTCCGCTCTCTGAAAGTGGATGACCAGCGAAGCAGTTTAGCGCACGACAGAGACCCGCCCCGAGGAGCCGGGGGAAACTAGACCCGGTCATCGGGACCACCACCCGGTGGAAAGTAGACACTCGCGACGGGACCGCCACCCCGGAAGAGCGGAAGGAAAGGAAACTAGGCACGCAAGCGGCTTGGAACGACGACAAAGGGCACGTTAAGCTCGAGCGCACTCCAGCGGTCAGGGTGCACTCCAGCTAAACAACATTAGGGAGTTTTAGGGAACCGTTTTTGTACATCCAATACGGCACGACTGGCCGTCCAGGACGAACTGCGCATACGCTACCGCAGAAGACTCGCGGTTCAGTTCCGGTTCGGCTAAAAATAACGGCTCTGTTCCGGTTTTCGGTTCTGTTCCGGTTCGACACCCTCTGTCAGACTGACTGGTGAGTTCGGTCAATTCGACCAAGAATTGGCCTCTTGTTCATTTCGAGCACGTGTGCACAGCATTGTCGGATAGACCGATCTCACATGTCAGTTGAGCGACGCCACCGCTGCCACAACGAATCGAGAAGAGGCTGCCGAAATGGAAAAAAGTTTAGCGGCAGACAACGGATGAGAGGAGAACCACGTGAATGGCGCCCCGCTGCGGCGAGACGCTTAAACAGAGTTCTCCCGAACGAACACGTGTGTTTCGAGTCCTCGCCACTGCAAAAGCTGTGCGCTGATCTCCAGGTTCTCTGAGAAATGGCTCTTTGATACTTTGTGCTACCAGATCCTCGCGCTCCAAATCTCTAACCGGGAACTCTATAGAGGAGGAAGGTATTGGCCTCTTGTTCATTTCGTGGACGTGCGCGCAGGAAAAGCGCGGCGGGGGGGGGGGGGGGGGGGGGGGGAGGGGAAGGGGGGGGGTCTGGCGCATGTGCTAGAGACGGCCTTCGAAATAAACGTCCTGTCGCTTTCATTTTGTCAGTGACCAGTATGCTCGTGAGGCGTTACCTTAAAGCCAGGTCACACCTTTCATGCATCATAAAAAGGCAGTCTGCCCACACGGGTCATCGCAATATTCGTGGTTCGAAGGCCGCGTGCCAAGTTTCCTCCTTGAACTCATCGCAATGCAGCATTCGAAGCACGGATCTCGAGGTGACTCGCGTTCGAATCTATATGCAGACTGCATTTTGTATGATGTATTCCCGGTGAAAATCTCGCTATGGGCGCCTCTGTTTTCCTCAGTTTAAAGCCCTTCTATCCTGGGAAAAGTGGCGCCATTCATTGTTGTAGACATGCTCGAGGCACGTGCCGCGCGCCAATTCTGGGAAATTCATGGCGTTTGAACTCCAGTTCAGTGCTGCAGTGTACTAGAATGCTTGGGTAGTGGTGGGACCGTAGCGGCTCGCCTGAGGCGCGTGGTATTGATCGGGACAAGTGTCGACACCGGCGTGTTACCCAGAAGGTGTGCGCATGCGCGGCTGCAGGCGCGAAATTATGAATCTTTGACGCCGCTTCGGTGGAGTGCACATAGGATTTCTGATACAGCTATGACCTGCCAGCGGTCGTACCGCGGCATTAATTACGCTGCGGCATGACCGGTGGCAACATGCTTCAATCTATTGGACGTTAGAAGCTACATCACTCTGACTTTATATAAAAACAATTGCGACTTTAAAGAAGCCAATTGGAAGTTGTTTCAGCGTAGAACTAGTTCCGACTTTCGGTTTGTCGGATGGTGAGCATTTTAAATAAAATGCCCATTTCCTTGGTTGCAAAACCCCAACCATTAGATATTTGGCGGATACGTAAAATTTAACAGCAGTTTCTTTTTCCTTTTTTTTTTCTTTTTTTATATTTTATTTTATGTTGAAACGAAACGGCACATACTAAAGCCCGAGATTGTTCTAGTACGTTTTTATACCCAAGGTTAACTTCTCTGTCTTCTTTTCTGTCCGTCTTCGTCTTCTTCTTGACCTTAATCAGCTCACTTCACTTGTCACTCATATTTGTGTTCATTTTTGTGACAGACCACCCAAGCGACAGTCGCAAAGAGATGAGAGCCTTATATTTTCTCATGGCTGCCACGACCATCCGAGGACTACTTGACGTTTACTTGTGAGAAATGGCTTATAAGCCGTAACAATTTGTATCACCCGTTTAACATTGAACTTAAGTCCAAAAACTGAGACAACGTGGTAATGCTTTATAGGATTAAAAAAAAAAAGAAAACAACCAACTATTTCACATAATTTGGACCAGCAAACAACAGCACACGTAAGTAAGGCAAAGTAAAAGCTGTAATAGTTTACAGCACGGCATTGAAATACATGGTTACAATGTGCAGAGCATACGTGGCCCTGAAGGTATACCACATCAGGTAAGTTGTCGAACAAATGAACCGGTTCCGAAAGAAATGTCCCCGGAAAAAATGTCACCGGAAAAAAAAAGTCCCCGAAAAAAAAGTCCCCAAAAAATAGGTCCCCGGAAAAAAAGACCCCTGGTCGAAAGTAGAAAAAAATGTCCCCAAATGGATTCTCTATCACTGGGTTTTCCCCGAATTTCATGCCCTTCGGCCGGTCCTGTCATTATCCGGTCACAAATAACCTGACCCACCTAGAGGTAGAACTGAAAGTCACTCAAAACAACCGAAGTAATCGATTGTGGGGTATTTTGGACACCAAATTATTGTTGGCCAAAACCAAATTATTGCTTGTTTTTTTTTTTTTTTGTGTGCGTGCGTGTTTTTTTTTCTTTTTTTTTTCTATTCTGAAATAAACATTACGACACTTTTAGCAAAAACGAAATTATTGTGTTTGGAGAAATTGGAGAGGTATTTGTGTACGATTTTAAAATAGGTAGAAAGCGCGACACTGTTAGCAGGGACAAGCGATCGCTAGTTATTTTTTGTCTTTTTCTCGTAGAAACGAAGGTTGTCATCAAAGTTATCATGGGCACTGAAAGTGCTCATTTGAGGATATAATGCAGACGTTAAAATTTCGTTCCCACTAATACTTTTTCTACATAAAATGTGAAAATACGTGCCTGTGCCGTCTTGTTGCGCATACGCACTAATTCCTTCAATCCTTTACCGTTGTTAAGATATATCTTGTAAAGCCGCTCGCGTGCCTCCCACAGGTTGATTAGATGTTAGTCGGGAATCGGGTCTTGCTCCTGCACCTCCAGGTTTCGCGTGGGCGCTTGCGCTGCACTCATTAATTTTACTTTTACGGGAACGGCGTCTCCGCACGTGGCCACCGCCTTCCGGAAGGCGTCCCAGTCAATAGCCTGAGTTAAGCGTCTGCGCCATGCTCTGCCGCCGGTTGAGAGCTCCAGCCAGATGGGATAGTGGTCGGACCCCATAGGGTCCGGTCCGCACCGCCAGTCGGTCACCAGTCGGGAGTCCGCCCAGGTCAGGTCCGGGGTCGTGTCTCGCTGTCCCTCGTGCAGTCCGTGGCGCGTTGGGTAGTCGAGGTCGTTGGCCAGGGTGAGGTGCGCCAACTACGCTGCCTCCTTTAGCCGCGCGCCCCTGCCGTTAGTCGTCGAGTACCCCCAGTACGGGTGGTGCGCGTTAAATTCGCCCGCCACGAGCAGGCGGTCACGGGGGTAGCGCTGCCGGAGTTCCGTCAGCCATTGGAAGCAGGCTCGACCGGCGTGGCCGCTCCTGGAACACCTTGACTCGAGTCTCGCGTAGCAGGAGATTACGATGACTCGGTGACGTCCAAGCATGCAGCGGACCGCCACCACCGCCTGGAACGGATTACAGTAGGCCGTCGTGTCTACTTGTGCCTGTGGGAGGCCCTTGCGCACAAACACCGCAGCTTGTGCTTCAATGATCTGAGATGTGTCACTTGATTCCCCTCTTAGTCCGTGTTCAATCGTCGGTTGGAGGTATCCGTTGAAGCCCGAGATACCCGGACTCGTCCCCCGCGTCTCCTGCAGCAGAAGCGCTGCCGGCCTTCCGGTTAAGCGGAAGAGCTCGACGAGCTCCGTAGCGCTCTGACGTAGCGAATGGCAGTTCCACTACAGGAGGTCGCGAGGACGCTCAGGAGGTGGGTGCGCCGAGCTGCTGTTCGGTGTAGATTTGTTGCGGCTGGTGCTGGCTGGGTCCATGTTGGCTAAGTATGGGAGAGAACATTTGAGCGACCTGTTGTGTGACCATCTGAGTTACGTGTTGGAGGAACTGCTGCGTTTGTTGTTGTTGTTGCATTTGTATTTGCTGCTGCATCTGCTGTATTTGTTTCATTTGCTGTGCTTGCTGCTGTCGCTGCTGTAGGAGTTGTTGTGTCCACACCGGCGGCTTGTTAGAGTTCTGGGTTGCTGCCTGGTGCTGGGGTGCAGGTACTTGGGATTGCTTTCTTGCCTGCTGTCGTGTGCATGAAGTGTTTCCAGATGGTGTGCGATACCGCCCAGGTAAAATTAAGGGACTGGCGTCGCTCGTTTCTCTCGAGGAGCCCGTGTTCCGATCTCTCTTATTTCTCAATTTCAAGGTGCAGGTGACCTGCTCGTGATTTCTGCCGTTGATTCTGTTTGCACTTGACTTGTTCCATCGTACGCTG